GCCCGGGGTGGGCGGCGGGTGGGCCGGGGCGGGGCCACCGAGGGGAGGGCGGCGGCAGCGCTGCGACTTTTGAAGTCCCAGCTGTCGTCCGGGACGGGTGCCGCGCGCTGCCTCTCATCGCCGCCTTCACCTTCCGCGCCCTGCCCGGGCCCCCGCGTCCCTTGGGTCGCTTTCTGGAGTTTGGACAAAACGTCTTCAAGTTCTTGTAGGTCCGAAACCGTAACACTCTGCAGAGCACAACAAAGGGAAAGAGCCGGGCGTCTCGGCCCCGGAGCACAGGCGGCGGCCCGGGACGCGTGGGGACAGCCCGCCCCTCCGCGCACCCACTGAGTCCCTCTCTCCCTGTCTTGCCCTAGTCATGGAAGGGGTGGAGGCGGCAGAGGCCGACTGCTCCGTAGCGTTCGCCGAGGCTCGGAGATGGGTGGAGGTGAGTGCCCTTTCCTGCTCTCCTTTCCGCACAGTTGGCAGCCTCGGGGCGGACGTCGCGAGGTGACGGCGGCCCTGGCCACCCCGCGCGTGAGCCGCCTCCCGTGACCACGCGGCGCGATGCAGCCGGCTGGTTTGCACGGGCAGTTTGGGGAACGTGGCAAGTTTTGCTTCTACTACCTGTTACTGTCCAGCTTAGCTTAGCGCGGCTCTCCCCCGACGGCCTCGCTGGCCTCCCCAGAGCGCCTCTGCCAGGGCGAAGGGGAGCGCTCGCCACCGGGTTCGGGAGTCGCGCAGCCCTGAGGACAGCCCAGCGCGGCTCCCGCGCGCCCGCGACGTCTCTGCGCGGCGCTGAGCTGTGTCCTCGGGTGCGTTTCTTTGGGGTGCCTAGAAGTGGGGAAGCCCGACGCACACCTGCACAGCCAGTGTATGGGGCGGGGGGAGGCGGTAAGATGATTTCTCTAGGACGCCACCTGAGCCCAGGGGGTGAGGGTCTGGGCATGAATTTCTTAATCTTCGACATTGAGGAGACTAAGATGTCCTGGGGTCACTCACTGAAAGGTTGTTAATTTCCCAGCTGTGCCTCCCAGACGAGATCTTCTGTTCCCTTTATTTCTGTTGAATAGGACATGGTCTGTTCATCCACTCCTTGAGGTTTATCTGTAGAAGGTTAACACCAGGACTTCTGGCCGTTATTCTATTGAAAGAAAAAGATGACTTTTAAAACGAGACAACCCCCCGCCAAACCCCCCCTCCCCCAAAAAAAGCCTTTTAAGCGAATGTGAATCAGGGACAACTGCTTGTTAGAAAATTGTTGCCCGCACCAGCCTTGCAATCATTTAGGAGTTATTGATGCCACGTGCTGGTTTATTACCGTAGTTAAAAGTTTGAATTAGGTTTAAAGATTATTCCACGGAAAACCCCAACATATTCACCAAAGCAAATAGTATTTAAAAATAGTTCAGTTTTCTGTAAAGAAATACACGTATGAGGGTACTTCAAAAAGTTTGTGAAAACGGAGTTGACAGATAATATAAATCTTTCTATGAACTTTTAAAAGTGCCCTCGTATATTTGTGGGAAAAAATAAAGAGAATAAACATTAAATGTTACATTTCCTACACTAAATGAAGGAATGTGAAATGTGAGTAGTATTACCCACTAGACAGTAAGAGGTCTAAGAAAGGGGCTCTTGGTGTCCTTTAGGACTGAAACCTTGAGTTGGTCTGAAGGTGACTTAGAAAGGTGTGAGGGGAGGGGTGGGAGGTTGGGAGCAAAATAAACACTGTATTTTAAATTGAAATGAGAGTGGAAGAATTCCAGCAATGTAGTTAAGAGAAATAACTTTCCTCATTCATAAACTTTGAAAAGTCAAGGCTTCCAACAGTAATTTTCCATTAGTAGTGTTCGTTCTGCATAATTTTAGAAATTAAATTTACCATCTTTTGTTTGAGTGGTGGGGATAAAGAGGGGGAGAAGGGAAGAAATATGGGGACTTTTTTTGGTCATACGTGGCTCCTATGTGGAGTTTGTATTTGCTTTTTATTTGCTTCAGGAAATTCGTGAATATGGATGACTTCACATCCTTTTCTTTTTTATCCTATGCAGATCTTGGAAGACTAGTATGCAGATTTTGGGAAACTAAAAATTCCTTGTTTGTCATAGCTTGCTCATAATTGTGTAGGGTTTCTGTGAGAAATTTGCATATAATGAAGTTGTGATAAAAGGTATCACTGAGCGTGGTAAATGTGCTCATCTTCCCACTCCCATACCGCCTTATCTAAAGGTGTTTATCAGCAATGATTTGGTAACTCGAATGTTTTGTTCATCATTAGCAGAAAGCCGAATCTTTCTAAAGGTATAGTCATATCCTTTTAATATAGTTAATAAAATTAAAATTAAGTGATTTTTTTTTTCTCATGTCACTTAGAGCAAGGCAGTATTTTTGCATTCATTGAAGATAGGTGAATAATCTACATATTCACATACTTTCAGAATACTGTGGGCATTTGAAGTGACAGCAGTGTGTTCACTGTTAGGTTTGTTTTATTTCTGCAGCTTGTGTCACATTTATCTTTCTTGTCACCAGAGCACATATTTGAAAATGCTGTTCTTGCCAGAAGAAGCAGAATGAATGACTCTCTCCTTGCCCCAGTCTCTTAATTCTAAGAACCTCTAATTTGAAGAAAAAAATTGATTCCAAAGCATATTTTATAAAGTATTTAGGCAAGTGAGGAAGATTATAGTGTAAGTCTTTCTCATGCTTGCTAGTATTCTTGGCCATTTTGCCCTTTCTATAACTTTCCTCCAAGTATTATTGAAGCATAACTGGATCATTCATATGGGTATATGTATGTACATATGTACACATATATGCGTTACAACATATATTACATGTATATTATATGTAATATATTCTGCCACCTTTATGCTCAGCTGCAGCTTTGAGAATTCTAAGATCAAGAAACATTGTAGGGCCGAGCCTGTGGCGCACTCGGGAGAGTGCGGCGCTGGGAGCGCAGCAGTGCTCCCGCTGCGGGTTCGGATCTTATATAGGGCTGGTCTCAAAAAGGACAAAAAAAAAAAAAAAAAAGAAACATTGTAAAACTTTGATTGATGACCACATTCCTTGTCAGTATGTCCTTGCCATTTCCATTTTCCGTCTGTGGCTTTGAATAGCTAATGTGTTATTCTCATAACCAAAGTTAATTAAATTTATTTTTTAATGTGGGGGACAAAGAGTGAGGTGAGGGCTAATGGGTGTTATTCTGCCAATTATTATCTTTTTATGAATTTTCTTTTTATTCATTTCAAATTGTACTTAGATACTTAAGGGTATGCATATATTAAACTGGTTTGTCTACTCAGGGGCTAATTTTGCAATTCAGAACAAATGTAGGGATGCTACCCTTTAAGATAACTCAACATAATGATATTGGATTATTATCTGGTTAGAAATGCTGTTTGAAATATTAATAATGTAGCAGGGCTAGTTTATGATTAAACATTGATTTAAAACCAAGTAATGTAATAGTTTGAAGGCAAAGGCAGAGAAGAAGCTTGATTCTAGAAAGGTCATGGAATGGTAGAAAATACAGCTTGTACCCTTTAATTTTAGTCCTCTTTTGTAGCACCTTTTAATTTTCTATCTCTAATAGTTGCCTCTGTGTCTCTGTTTTGGGGCATTGAAAAGTCTGGTAGTAAACAGA